AAATGAATATGACAAAATATTAATCATAGGTCTATAACAATGGAGTATGTCCTTCTATCAAGTACTGCCTTCATATCAGGTCGTAAAATGACTTGTTGCTCTAATTGCTGAGTAATCGGATATACATATCCTGAATGCAAAGTAGGACCACGTTGTCAAAAATGTTTTCATATATGGTCAGATTATAACCACCAATATCAGAAACCAGTACTATTTGCATAATCTACAGACTTACATTCTTCACTAAGTATGGAACATTCAATGGTGAATAACTATGGTCAAATATTAAAACATCATGTTAATAAGGCAATTATGAATGGATTGATTTGTCAGATTGATTTCAATGAGAAATTCAAGACAGTCCATCAAGAAATGGCGAAATCTTCCATAGCTGACCGTACAAATAGACGTTTTCAGTATGACATATCAACAAGAACCGTCACATATTACACAAAACATTCTTGAAGAAAAACAACTAAGTGAGCTTGTAAGTTGAATTAATGGCGTTATCGATATTACAAGTTGAATAGAAGTCAAAACTGACAACCAAATTTTACGCATTGATATGCTAGATAATAGACTGGTGATTAATAAGCAAGTATAATTGTATTAGCAAATATTATGAAACAGATGATTAATGCTATGCTAGATAGGTAAAACAGACAACAACTACAGAACTTAGCTTAGCAACTAGAAAATTTTAAAGATGATGTGAAAAAAAATTTAATACAATCACATCCGATCAACAACAAATGTGATTATTGCCATCTCTACAGAGAAACAACAACAAAAAGCAAACCAAATCCTCAATAGCGAATGGTACTAGAAATAACGATCGGATAGAACAAGAACAATTGATGAACGGTACGGATGACTATGTACTATGATCATCCTCCTTGAACGTTCATGCAACTCCAATTTTTAAGTTCCTGCAGCCTCCTGATTTCACTTCCCTTGTGCCTACAGTACGAAATAGCAACAGCAGCTTTTATTTTTCTTTTTTCATCATGATTGAATAGAGCAATACGGACTACATAAGAAAAAAACAATATCATGGATATTTAAAACGAATTTTGCGAATTCCAAGAAAGCACTATGAATGAATATAATGATCATATACACATAAGTCTGATAGTTGTAAAATTAGTCTTTAATATGCGCAATATTCTTTTTTTAATGTAACTCGTCGTTCTCTATTCAAGCATGGCGAAAAAAAAAGAAAAATGAATGCTGCTGCTGCAATTCTATAGTGGTAGTAACATGACAGACTAAATAGCTTGGAATTCGAATATGTCGATTTGTGTACACTATACGCTCCTCATATTTTGTTTTAGTTAGTTTGGCAGTGAGATCATTAATTTGATGTAAATATGATCGATCATTTTACCTTTTAGTACACGACCTTCTATTCTAAGCTTTTCTACCTACAGTTCGATTTTGCCTGTGATACAAATATATGTTGAATCAATTAAATCAAGATGAATTCAACAGCAGTAAGAACTTTTTTTAGTTTTGTAACCTTTTTACTTATTGAAATTCAATTTTATTCTATTCTTACGATTCTGCGCTTTTTCTTATTTCAAACTGAACTTTGGGGAAAGATGACACTCGATTATTTCCAAATATGATGGTTTAGAGGGTGTAAAAAAAGAGACTCTTTCTTGAAAAACAAACCGAGGAGAGGGTCTTCTTGAAATTAAAACATATCGTTTATAAAAATAATCATAACTCAATCACGATTCTACTCATGTTTAACATAGTGTCGACTAAGGGATAATTATCTGATTGCATGTACACTTGTATATATGGATGTCTTTTTTTTGGAAGAGGAGTCTAAGAGGTATTCAGATTTATTCATATATTCATACATGTACATACTTTGTCCAACTTGCTATATTCGAAAACTGCAAAATAAAACTCAAAATGACCCAAAATCTATAAAGCAACATTCATGAATGTCACTATCAATCAACATGCTATAGTTAGATCAGCTCCTTAAAGATAAAATATTTTTTATCGTATATCTTTGCATGTTCCTAGATTGTCACTAGTTGAATTGTATGCATTTCTACAGAGCACAAACATATTGCATAGATCTGGATTGATTAAAGTATATTAATCTAAATTATGCTTCAAGCAATCTAGATCTATGAAATATGATTATTTTTTCGAGAAAAATACTTAGTTCAAAAACCGAATACGTAAAACCACATTAAACTTCTTGAATCGAAACGAAATCATAAACAGCGCACGTTTTTACGTCTTCGTAACACGTCAAAAACTAGGAATGAAAATATGTTCATTAGAAAGATTTAACGCATTTTAAACGCTAACAAAGATGTACTTTTTATCACTTTATTTTCATTTAAATTTCGATGTAGTATTACGAGTTTCTTTTTATCATTTGTCGGACTGAAAATCGTTGTATTCACAAACACCAATAGAGCGTTTTATATCTACTAAAAGGTCATGTAAACTGCATTCAGGTGCAAGATATTTTTTTCTTCAGATAGTGATGGATGAAATGATGTTTCCTGGTGAGTTGAATACCTACCTGTAAAATTAATTTCATTAACTTTCGTTTTGTCCATTGGCACTACCATATTTGATGTGTTTTCGAACCCGGCTTGCAAACATATATGTAAAAAAAACACTTTGTTATAGTACTAGAGAGCTCTCTCTCTTAGTAATATAGGCATCCATCCATTGCATCAGTTGCCATTTTTAAATGTGCCGATGATATGCTTTACATGTTCTGGATAACTACATTGAAGAGAGGAACGTAAAAAAAAACATCTTTTTATAGTAACTTATTAAATAATCTTTTTTCGTGATTGAAACACGTTTAATCCCAACTATGTCAGCAACGATCAATTGGGCAACAAATAATTGTTCGCTATAACTATCTCCGAAAACCGCATTGGATAAACGAAATTGACAACATTTTTTTATAAAGAAAGGGCTCTTTTCATGATATAAGCATCGATATATTACGCTAGTCGACTCAATCGATGTTTTCACACTCATTGATACAATACTTTATCTGTCCTTAATGACCTCATAGAAATAAAGAAACGTAAAAACAATATTTAAATAGTGATAGAGAAAGTTGTGTTTCATCAAATACAAGTACGCATCTATTATTTTGGCTGACTCAATCGATGTTTCCGTACTCATCGATACAATATTTAATTTGTCCTCAATGATCTCGTGAAATAGAGGAACGTCATATAAATGTTCTTCTTATTGTGGTAGAGATAATTCTCTCTTGGTAATATAAGTACCCATGAGTCATATTTGCTTATTCTATCACGCTTTTACACTCACCGATTCTAGATCTCATCTGCACTTTATGACCTCATAGAATTGAAGAACGTACAAACCATCGTTTATAGTGATGAAGTTCTTTTCCTCAGTAATGTAAATAAGTATCCATTATATTTGCTGACTCAGTCGACGTCTTCACAATCATCTCGAGTATGTTTTATTTGTTTTTGTTGATTGTATTGAAAACAGAAATGTAAAAAACATTATTTTCTTTTTATAGTAACTGAGTAAATGGTTTTTTTTTCGTGATTGATCCATGCATAGTCACATCAATCTCATTAACTATGGATTGTACAACAAATACTTGCAGAATATAACTACATCCGATACTCACGTTGCATCGACGAAGGTAAAGTTTTTTTTCCTAGTATTAAGGAAGTGAACTGTGTTCGTAATTTAAGCGTGCATATTTCAAATATATAATATTTTTTTACACTCAGTTTAATTATTCTGACCAAGACCCGTCCAATATCCGTGAAAAAAGGCAACTTTTGACATTCATGAACATTGTACGTTTCACTGAAGTGTCTAGCCTACAAATTAAGCTCAAAGCAATAGAATAATTTTCTAGATTTTGAGAAGTTTATCGAACGATATGTAATTCAAAGTGGATAACTGCTTTCATAACTCCATGTTGATGGTGTTTTTTTGTCATAGGTGTCCTCATATCGAACATACAAGGGAATCATGTCATCTAAAAAGATAGGAAAAGAACAACATTTTGTTTTACTTATATATGCTATTTGATAGAAGAAAGAAAGAGCTTTGCATTGGATATATAAGGCAAATTAGAGAAGATGGACATCCTTTCAGTGTAAACATTGCATATCAGAATGCTGTATATGTATAATATCATGTTTTGACCCAGCTGCGCGCAGCTAGAATGAAGTCTAATAGTATGATTCGAATGGTACAAGACTCTTTGCAACTGCATTAATCAATGAAGAAAGAATAAATTCAGTTTCAAGAGAACACTAATTTCACAAATAAACAGCTCCCTTTTTTTTTATTTTTTATTTAGTTTTTAGAATATTAAACATTATTAATTTCAAGTACATATTAAAAAAAATTTTCATAATATTTTCAAGCTCCGTTTCAAGAGTGAAATGTCATGAATGATATTGTTGTCTTAATATTTTAAAATTATTTTTCATAAATTAAATCACCATTGTATTTTTATTTTTCTTAATTTTTGTTCTTTACATAAATACAAATTAAGAAAATATTTATCTCTATTTTTCACTGGTATGAAGTTCTGTCGTTCGAACAAAAACGATTTGTTATTATATCAGTTTGTATGTTGAATAAAATCGAGGAAATACTCAACAATATTGGTGATACATTTCATCTCAATAAAATTTGCGTTACATTTAACATAATCAATAGATTAGTTAAACAAAGAAAGAGTTTTCTTTGTTATTGTTCATCTTCATAGAAATTAATTGATAGTATAGAAATCAAAAGCAAACATTGGATAGTTTCAGAACTTTTTATAATTAAATTATTAAATGATAGTATTAAGAGAATAATTGTATCATATCGATGTAATAATCATCTTCATTACATGTGTTTATAGATGACTTCACAATAATAACTTTTCTTATCTATGTTGTCTTTATAGTACTACTCCAAATTTTATTTAATAACATAACATTGTCGAAAGAATTCTTAACATGAATAATAATAATTCCATAACACGGTTTGATCGTTTAGCGACAGAAATTATTTTGGACATATTTGATTATTTATCATGTAATGATATTATTTATACATTCTTTTATTTTAATCAACGACTAAATTCTATACTATTGCACTATCGACATTGCTCGAACAATTTCAAATCATCAATAACACATTTTAATTTTTGGCAAAATTATTTACCATTTATTGGATCACAAATACAATGTTTAACTATAAATACTATTGATTTATCTTTTCCATTGAACTTATTTCCAAATTTAAAATCTATCATTATTTCTTCTCCAGTTCCAATTGATTATGAACAAATTGGTTGTATATCGGAAAGTGAACAATTTAATCACTTAACTTCATTTAAAATTAAAAATAAAATTTCCAACAAAGTTATGTCTTATGAATATTCTAAACAGTATGAGCGATCTCTATTAAAAAAAATATTTAGTGATGAAAACTCATTGGAGACATTTGAATGTTTATCAGAATTATATGTTTGTAGTTTGCAAGAAATTGGTAATTTAGTAAGCAATGTAAATATTCATTCGTTGTCATTGAAATCGGCAGATTGTATAAGTGCGTTTTCCTTTCTTAAATACACACCGAATTTGAAAATTTTCAATCTAATTGCAACAACATCTTATTTACGCGATAAATTAGATAAAGACCTAAACTTATCTAAGATTAAATTAGAAAAACTTTATTTAACATTAAAAATAGATGCTAGCGATGGTATTATTGGTGGAAAGCAATTTCGTTTATTAACAAGTCTTATAAAACAATTTTCATCATCATTAAATCGTTTATCATTGAATTTAACCGTTATAAAAATTGGTGCAGTCGATGATATATCATTCAATGGTATTCAGCTTCAACAACAATTATTAGAACCCATGATACAATTACAACAATTTTATCTTTACGCAAAGCTATGGAATCATTCAATTGATATTAAAAATATTTTATCGACATTCGAAAATCAATTTTGGTTTGATCATAATTGGTCAGTTGGAATGCATGGAAACTATTTATATACATTACCATTTCATTTTGATGAACTCAATGATTTTATTGATTTTGATCATATTAAATCGAACGATTCGAAGGTTCTAAATTATCCTTGGACATGGTATCATATTACATCGATTAGTTTCTCTAGTTCATCTAAATTAAATTTAAATTTAATAAAACAATTAAAAATGAAAATGCCAAATTTAATGAAACTTACATTTAATTCACTTCCTTCTCTGTGTTTTGAAACAATAGAAAATTCATCTATAAGCGACAATGAATTACATAAAATTGACACAACACTAGATAGTGTGACTACCGTTCATTTTGGAGGTGAATTGATGGAAGATACTAAACAGTGGTTATTTCATATGTTACCAAACTTAAAGCATTTGGTTTTATCTGGTACGACTCAATTCTTCCCACTAGTGGATAAAAGAATTGAAAGATTAACAATACTTAATTTGTATGCTCTTTCCAATGTCATAAAGCCAGATGATGTTTATTTTCCAAATCTACAACATGTAGAAATACAATTTTTCTTAGATTCTGATTTAAATTTAAATAAGTATGCACCATATTCTGTTATGGAAATGTTGAAAAGTTTCGAACAAACGAAGACTTTGCTAATTCATTTTTATTGGTGTAGTGAAGATGGTTGGTATCGTATATCAATAGCTGATCTGAGCAAGCTGATTGCCAAGTTAGATATGAACGAAATTTTGAATACCTTTGAAATGAAGCATTTTTATAATTTTCTTCAATTTATCAAAAGAGAACAATAAATAGTTTCTTTTTTCAAATCTAGCAATTATCCAATTGAATGAAATTGATTTTTTTAAAACAAAAAATAAAAAAATACTTAGTAAGTAACTATATTTCTTAATCAAATGACAAACATATGACTACACAGATTGAGAGCATGAATCTTTATAGATCATTTTTTTCGTCATTTAACCTAATTCTAATCAAGACTAGACTGCTCTTTTCATTAGTACATTTAAATTGATATTTAACACTGAGTAAACTAGTAGAAAAGATCTATTCAAGTTGTTATTCGTTTGTCGAAGTCAATTTTTTCGATAGGAAACCTGAAGATAATTGAATCTTATAAAATGATAATAATAAAATATCATGAATTGTCTGCATTAAAAAAATTTTCTTCACTATAGAAATTTTCAATACATAAAAAATAATGATATTAAAAAAGTGATTATCATGTGATGTTAAATAATAAGATTTGATATGATCAAAAAAATTCAACAATAAAAAAAACAAATCACTTTTTATTTCTATTTAAATAGAAATACACTCACATCATTTAAAGTTTCTATACACGATAATAACAACTGTGTACTATACGCTAAATTAATTCTTAAATCATGACAAGTCGTTTAAGTGTTTTCTTGTTCAATGATATCTTCTAAAAAGAGTTTGTCGTCTTAAATTTATTATTTGTCTTCTACTGGCGAGCAAATAAAAGTATACATGGTTACTCTTTACTCATGTTGATTTAACATAATGTTACAAAAGAACAAATTTTTACTTATAAATAATTTTTCAATTATTTAATTTATTGAAAACTCTAAAATAATTGTTTCTGTACTTATAATTAAGTCATGCTGGTGATTGTGAGGGTGAAAGTGTCGGGCAGAAGTAGAAACGGGTTGTGCTATAACTAGATCTGCGAAATTTTCTTGTTGTGAAAACTTTATAATGAAAATATCCATGTTAAGAACATGAATATCTATAATAAGCAGCTTAAATTTTCATGACGAATATGTTGGATAGTATCAACGAGAAGAAAAGTGATTCGTATAATATTTTTTACTTTCGTTAGTTTCTATCCATTGTCAATATTTTCTAACAGTTTCCAATACATTGAAATTTAATCAATCCTGTTTGTATTTTGAATTAAGATTTGTATCTTGCAACTAAGATGCACTTTTATGATTGGTAATATAGCATAATCAGATTGAAACAAAGTGGTCCACAAACAATGGACTGCTTGTTTTCTTTTTCCGCAAACTAAAAACACATTCCAAAGGTTCCATTCTAAGCTCTTTTAATAGATAGTTTTTTGTGTTCCTATATTATTGTCTTGATTTTTTATATAAGCTTATCTTGTTGGTAAAAGATTGGAACCACATGCCAATACTCGAGTGTGCAAATGTGACAGTTTAACAACTTAGACTGATAAACCATTTTTAAAATAAGAGTATTATCCAAAGTTAGAATATGCTGCAAGGTTTTCTATGAAATATTCAATCTGCCGATGTATGTCAACAAGTTTTAAAAAAAGCATCCGTGAAAGAGTTTGTGAACAATAATTCGAAAACTCTGAAAAAAAGTTTTTTGGTAAACGTCAGGCAATGTTTGTTTTTGTTTTTAGTCCTAGCTAAATATTTTCTTTGATCAATTTAAATTTTACATCATTCTCTTTCGGCTGAGTCTTGAGAAGATGCTAGATTTGTAGAATATAAAATTCTCTGTACTGATGTCAGATATTGCCAACTTAGAATAGGACTTGATGACATAGAATCTTACAGAAATCCATTGATGTTTGGTGAAAATATTTAAGATTGTAATCAGGCGACTAACTATTCGTTAGTCTTCCCAATTGTTTGACAATAAGAGAAACCTATCTGGAAAAAAAGCTGGGAGTTTAACAGGATTCAGCATGCTCTGTCTATTGAGCATCAAATGGAATCTCTAGATTGTGCTTCGAATTTCTAAAAAACACAATAAAAATGCTTCAACCATTAAAGATCATCCCTTACATAAGTAGCGTGCCTTTAAATGTTTTTTCGAAGCTGAAACTCGAAAATTCAATGTATTGTAGAAGACCACAATGATTTACAAATGTTTTACGACCAATACTTAAGCACGTAATTTCTTTCATTTCCATGATATCAACATGACTTCTACCATTAGAAATCATGTTGGTTTTTTTTTGATTAATACCGTGCTGACTGTTTTCCGTTCTATCTTTTCTGAACATGTATTTATCAATACTAGAGTCTGAAACGAAACGTTAACTCAGAGTTGGATTCTTAATTGAAGAAAGTTTTACCTGAGGCAAGGTGGGCAGTAAATGTTCTCTTCGTTTCGGCATCTGGTGTATGTGACAAGAAACCTCTCATCCATACTCTCTCTTTTCTTGCAGATTCATGTCTGAATTCAAGGGAGAAACAGCAGAGGCTTCTGTCTCGACGAATTGTAAAGTATTTTGAAGTTGCAAAAAGTCTTGTGAAGTTCTACGAAATCTTGTAAAATCCGATGAAGTCTATCGAAATTCCGTGAAATTTTACGAAGTCTTTGAGATATAGCTTTTAATATGAGAATGGACAATCTGACAGGATACTCCAATACTGTTTAACATGTAGATTCTATAGTGCACTAGAGTGATATGATTATTCTACTAGTTACTTTAAAAAGTTTTAATTAAAAGCTATTTTATTTGAAGAATAGTTATCGCATTTAATAGAAGACGTAAATTCTTGATCAGAGAAAGTTTCTCGATCTCAAATCATTTCTAACGATATATAGATGGCATGAGCTATTAACCAGGAAAACTTTTTTAGTTAGGTAGAATTGAGATTATATGTAGAAAGTTGTAGATTGTATAAAGAAAGTTGTTTTTTAATATCAATTATTAAGTGTTGCATAAGATAAAATGATATATATAAAATAAATAGTCTTGAAAGTAATGTAAGTCTTAAAATAAAATATTATTATTGTTTACAGTCAAATTGAGTGTTGTGCTAGATAACTAGGTATTCTAAGTAGATACTACCTAGTGGAATGGTTTTTTTGTTATTTTAAATGCTTCTGCATATCGATTAGCTTGCGTCTATTCGATGTTTGATTCCATGTTACAATGAGATTTAGATAGTGTGTTTAATGTTAGAAAAGACAAAGCTTATGACATTCATGGTAACATTTATGTCTAGCAAGGTCTATACATTCCAGTGAGTAAGATGTAAAACTGAAAATATAAATTTTGTTAGAGTTGCTATGAAAAAGATTTCAAGAAAAACACAAATATCAAATTTTTGGTCAATTTTTAAAAAATAATGTACCTCTCAAAATAATTTTCCTTAGAATTGATTTAAATAAGTCTTCAAGAATTAAAACAACGAAATCTTAGATTGAGATTGTTGTTTATTTACAAACACAGAAAAATGAGGTTGAATTGGGCAGTTTCTGAATTTTGATTTTATATTGACAAATGAGCAAACATATGCTAAAAACAATTCTTTCAACTAGCAGCTTTAAATGATTTTGCACCTAGATTTGCCGTAACTGCTATTTATTAGACTATTGAAATGTGATATTTATTGAAAATTTGGTAGTTTTTAAAGAAATATATTTGTAAAAGTTCCAAAAGGATAAATTTTATGTTAAAAGTTCTTCACGGTAACTACAGGAATGTTACTACCATACCTTTATCTTATATTTTATAATTTGTTATCTTTGATAATAAAGGCAGTAACTAACAATATTTTAGATTTTCGAACTACTGACAGTACTGAAAAATATTGAAATGTTTTTAGTACATATGTGACAACAGTATTCAAATCAATTATGTATTAGTTATTTCATATAAAAATCATCTATTAAATTTTTAGTAATTCAAAAATTGGGTATTTTCAAGAATATTTTGCGATAAATAAGACTGAAGTAAAAATGCAACGTTGTCCTTCGTTAAACTTAAAACGATAATGGTTTCTGTTTTTTTTCAGTGAGTAAAATATGATACCAAAATGATATAACCAAGAAATAAAATGCGTTGAATCGACTACACTTTTGTAGTTGTTATTTTTGTTGAATAAGAGTTCTGAGTCTTCTGGATTTTTTCATAAAAGACTCTTAACTATACAACTAAAAAAGCAAGTGCTTAGTCCTTTAAATAATACCATCACTTCATACGTCTGTCGACGCCTAACAGCAACGTTTGCTTACTTTTTTTACAGGAAGAAACAGAAAAAAACAGTTGTTTTTTCGTCTTCTATCGGTCGTAAAAACTCTACATGCGACTTGATTACCTTAGAAGAAAATCGGCAACACTACTTGTTACCTCAAGGCAGTTTTACTATGTTGCGAATATTGAGTCTATGACAAGTTTTATTCTGTGTACCTAGATTTATTTTAAAATAATTGAGTAAATGATTCATGTTATGAAAATCACTATTAATACACGCAATAAATACAAACATCAGTTCGTTGTCACTAATGTTTATTAAAAAAACAGTTTATTTTTCTGAATTGAAGTAAAAAATTTAAAAGAAAAATGTTCAAAGTAAAATACAGTTGCCCTTATGATCTCTGTTTCTTTTGTTTTTTCTTGATGACTCCTCTGAATAACGAGGATTAACTGGTGGTGGTCTACTTTGTCCGGTTCTAGTTGGTTCTTGCGCCATTTGTCGTTGGGGTGCTCTTTGAGTACGAGTATTTGGTTTATTTGCTCCTCGATTTATTTGTCGAACCAGATCAAAAAAGATCTAAAATAAAAAGAAGAATTATATTTTTAAAATCATCTATTTTGGCTTCATTTACTTCTTTAACATTTGATTGATTTTTCGCTGATGTTTCAAGAAAAGTACATTTCCATCGTCTTGCTAATTCTTGTCCATCTTGACGTGGAACCACACGTTCACCTTCTAAGTCACTTTTATTTCCAACAAGAACTAATGGTGGTTGACCCTTTAAAAAAAAACTTTCAAATTAAATATAATCGATTTTTCTATTTTAACTATACATTAATTTCAGCATCTTTTTTATTTATTATTCGATTATAGAATTCATCCAAATCATTGAATGTAGCTCGAGATGTTATTGAATAAACAAGAACAAATCCATGACTATTTTTAACGTATAAATCTCTCATGGCTGAAAATTCTTCCTGAAAGTAAATGAAAAAAATTTTTTCTTCAATAGAATTTTTTGTGTTATGTATTTTACTGTTCCAGCAGTATCAAGAATTTCTAATGAATATTGTCTTCCATCAATTTCAACAACCTAGATTCAATGAAATATATGACAAAAAACCAATAACAATGTATATGATACTTTTTTATAAACATCTTCTATAGTTGGATCGTATTTTGGCATAAAAATACCTTGAACAAATTGCATAGTCTAGTAAATAAAATCCAAGGACGGATTAAAAAAAGCAACTGTTGACTAAAATTTTTCTTACTAAACATGATTTACCAACACCACCAGATCCAAACACACATAATTTATATTCTGACATTATCAATTTTTACTGTAATAATAAACGCTGTTACCAGAATCGAAATGTTGCTCTGTTTGATCTGTTTGACGAATTCAAAAAGAGAAAAGAAATAATTTTCTTCCTTCTTTTTCTGCCGTTAACAACGCTCTGTCTTCTTGCCTAAAATACGCGCTTTACGATGTTGATTGCGCTTCTATGTTACTTCGTAAAAAAATATACTTCATCGTTCTGATGGCAAGAGCATTCTTGGTGGACATTAATTGAAAGTATGTAAAAAAAAATAAAAAGAAGAAAAAAATCAGATTTCTATATGAATCATTCATCACCATTGACGAGGAATATTCTTGAATGACGGAATGTTTTTTTTGAAACAATATTTCTATTTTGAGTTTCGTCGTAATAATTACCCAACCTTTCAATTCATAATTTATTCATCTCTATTTAATCCGGTTATGAAAAGCAGATTTGTTATTAAAAGACTTTCTTTTTTACTTCGAGCTTATGTGAGAAATGAATTTAAAATCTTTATTGATTACGAAATAAAAAAAAATACAAAATTATTGCAATTTTTTTTTTATTGAGCAATTTATTCTTATTATTAAACGACGAAATAAACTATTTATTTATCTGTTCATATCATACCTTTGGATGATTTGGAGAAATTGGAAAGATCATTATCTTTTATTCATTTCAAATACTTAAATAAATAATCATCGATCATATATAATACGGCCCGTTTTTATTTGAAGGTGTATTTGATGACTGACATTTATACTAATAGGTACAATGAAGCAATCTTAAGGCCTCATTTAAACATGTGAACTTTTATCGAGAAATTTGAAAAAAAGAAGAAATTGTCTTTTGATAAATAGTGTTACAATTAAATAATAGCAATTAAAGATCATGACAGTTTTAACTCTTTACAACACAACTTAACATTGGATTTAAATATGATGAAAAATAACACTTATTGTTATTTGTCACCAGTAAAAATAAATTTTGACGTTTTTCTTTTGTCAACCGATATCTATATAATCGTAATTCATGAAACGATATTCTACCCATATCAATGTTTCAAACAGTAAAAGAGATCTGAAAAAAGAAAATTATTTATTTATTTATTTATTTTATAAAAGAACACAACAATTTCTCGTAGGACCAGTTGATGGATTTCGAGAATCTGGTGATCGATCTCCTTTTGATGGTTTAGTTTGTCGATTTATTTGTCGAATTAAATCAAAAAAAATCTATATATCACGAAAAACAATTAGTGAAATCCATTCAAAATGAAAACTTCTTACTTCATTAACATTAATTTTTAATTTAGCTGATGTTTCAAGAAATGTACAACCAAATGAACGTGCTAGAGATTCACCTTGATGTTTCCCAACAACACGTTCATCTTCAAGATCACATTTATTACCAACTAGTACCATTGGTACATCAGCACTTATATCTTTAACCCGTATAATATAATCTTTTATATCTATTAAATCATTAAATGTTGCTTGTGATGTTATAGAATAAACAAGAACAAAACCTTGACCATTTTTCATGTATAAATCTCTCGTTGCTGTAAATTGTTCCTAAATAAAATCAATGAAAAAAGAATTTTTCCTTTACAAACATCTTATTTCTTTTTACTGTTCCAGCAGTATCAAGAATTTCAAGTACACAATCAACACCATCGATTTCTATTTGCTACAGAGAATACGAAACAACAATATATTTTATTTAAATTATATAGTTAAATAAATAAATAAATATTTACTTTACGATAACCATCTTCTATTGTTGGATCATATTTACCAATAAATACGCCTTCCACAAATTGTACAGTTAAAGCACTTTTGCCAACACCACCACTACCTAATACGACTAACTTATATTCACGCATGATCTACAAATCTACATAATATAGATGATGTTATATGAATGAAAATACAAGACGAAAACGAGACCAGATATTCATCAAGCCCTAGACAGTGAATCGATCATGATAATAAGACAGGTCAATGACACATAGAAATGAGACATGAAAGAAAAATTAAAATGTGTTCTTCAACCTTACCTACTAACGAACACGTTTGATTAACATAAAACAACCGAATGAAATATATACATACATATATATATATATATATATATATATGTATACTGAATACTGAGTCTTCTCTGAAGCGAAAGACGACAAGTTCAGTTTTATTTATTTATTCATTCCTTTTTCTTTCGTTCTTTACCTTTTTTTTTCTACGTATATACTATATTTATACAAAATACAGGAAAAAAATGATAATGAAACATGAGACACAAGAAAACGACAAAAAGCTATATTCTAGTCTTTGCATAAAAATGATTTTTCTATTAATTATATGAGTATAAAGTAAAATGATAACATAGAATATATCATCACACTCATTATTACATGTCACCATGTTTACATGCGAATCAATTAAGCGTCTGCACTAGTAACGACAATAAATTCTATAGGATCTCAAATATTTATTGATTCTAATTTTATTCTGCAACCTAATGAAAACGAAATTAATCGTAAATTATTATCGATAAATAATATACAACGATGTTTACGCTGTATTTCGAGGATAGTCGAACATCAATGTCAGATAAAAAAAACCAGTATGTGTACGTTGTTCGATCCAATTAACTATATAAATAAAATGTAGTTTTTTCATTATATGTTACCTGTGTATATTAAAAATAAAGCTAATATTGATATCTTTCGACAATCGTGATCAGTTTTAATAGAGCTCAAATAGGAAAAATTGTGTTGCTTTAAAAATAAGCATTTCTGAATGATGTAAAGAAAAAAAAAAGCATGATTTTTTTGCCTACCTTTGCCTTTACATATAGGCATATAAATATGATCCATTCATGTGGAACATCGATTCGCTTTTTTTTTCTCGTCCTTGGTATTTATTGTTGGTGTGCATTTCTTTCATAACCGCATACATACGTATCTTACGACAAAAACAACAGAAGTAGTCGCAAGACTAAGGCATCAGAAAATAGGTTAATATGGGTGCAATACTGAGTTAGTATTCAACATAGGAAGAGTCATATTTTGTTTAATATTCTATTTCTATAGGTCGTATCAGGCAGTTTTTAAGTGGAGATGAGTTTGTTGGTAGCGTTATGAATATTCATGGTGTTCCATACTCATTTCAACGACGTTTAGGCACTGGTGGTTTCGGTAATATAATTTTAATTATTAATAAAAACAGAGAGTAATTTGTTTTGTTTTTATTTTAAAAAAATTAGCTACCGTTTATGCAGGAAAATCTCCTAATGGCATGCCAGTAGCTATTAAAATGATTAATTTAAATGGTATACCACCTGATCGTAGTCAGGGTCTTGTTCAAAGTTATCTCAATGAAGTTGCTCTTCTTGAAAAATTACGACAAGAATCACGTCATGTTGTTGTAATTTATGATTTTGATTTTGATCCTACTACTGGTCTAGGTAAGTTGAAGGGTTTCTTAATTAGCAACAATGAATTTTTTTCGTTTCTATTTGTTTAGGTTACATTGTTATGGAATTAGGTGGAGATAATTTAATGAAATTTATTGATCGACTTCGTGCATCCGGTCGAACTCGTGGTCCATCTTTAGATGCAAGGATGATAAAAGGATTTTGGCGTCAAATGGTTAGTATTGTTGCTACATTACATGGACATTCAATTGTTCATATGGATTTAAAACCGGCTAATTTAATTTTATTTGGACGAACACTTAAAATTGCTGACTTAGGTATATCAAAAAGAGCTTATGCCTTAGGGTAAAAATAAATTACTTTTTCAATTCGAACATTGTATGTGTTTTGTGCTATTTCTTTTTGAAAATAGTCGAGGCGGTATGGGTACTCCATTTTTTAGGTAAGCTAAAAACAATCAATGAAGAGTTATATATTCAGATTTCTTTTAAAAGTGCACCCGAAGTAATGCAAGATAGGTCTGGTAAACCACGATCTTATGGTCCAAAAGTAGATATTTGGTCATTAGGTGCTATTCTTTATTATATGGTTTATGGCCGACCACCGACATATCATCCATTAGCAGCAAAACCTCCGATTGGACAACGTCGTTATCCAGATCCTGCTCTTAATGATGTACTTCGTCGTACACTAGTCCTTAATCCTCATGGACGATTTGATATAAGCCAACTTTTACATCACCCGTTTACTCGAATGTGAAGAAAAAACTTTAGATTGTGTCTTTTTTCTCATTCTCATCTTCTATTAGACTCTCTGGGATATCAACAATGCACAAATCAATAAGAATAATTATAACTGAATTGATTCATTTTTTAACTTACTGTTTTCTTATCATTTTCTATGCTAAATTTTGATTAGATTGTATTTTATAATTAATGATTAGTCATAATCATTGATAGAGAAAAAACCATCATTTTAATTGAGACAATTATCGATGGGTTGAATTCTAGGGAACTCTGCCCGCTTTTTGATGCAAAATTTTTGTTTATTTTCTTTTTAGATTTTTGTGACCATTGTATAATTTCAAGTAGTAGCTATCAACTGAGAACATTTTGCGATCCAAACATTGTCTTTAAGCGTTACGAAATTCGAGAAGTCAAATTTACATGGCCTAAATAGCAAAAACTGTACATTGTTTGGCGTTTTCTTTTCAAAACAATTTTTTCATGAAAAAAAATTCAAAAACGCTCCTGTTTCTCTGACGTAGAACGTCTTATCGAACTAAAACTTTTGTCACATATACTAGACGCCACTTGGGTCGCGTATTTTTTTTTTTTCGTTTCAAAAAATATTGTTTTGCTGATGTTTGGTGACTGTTACAAAAGAAAGCTCTATTCAAAAAACGTGCATTTCTTATCAAGATTTATTCACCAGTGAAAATTTTAAATGGTTCTGATGAGCCGTTCTTCAGAAATTTCAAAAAGAGGATGGGAGACGTACTCTTACAACAAAAAATAATACATTTTGGAATTATTAAATCATCAGATAAATGCAAATTGTGTTAAATCTATTTTTGAGAAATCTTTTTTCGTTGAGCTTCAAGATTCTAGTATAAATGTATGTTATTGCTTTCTTTAAGTTATGAAGTATGATTCTGTGTGACATGTTTAATATGCAAAATAAAAATGTCAACAGAAGAGGTAATGATTTGTAAGCAACTCGGTTCTATTGAATTTAAACAACATATTCATATGGAAATCAAGAAGACAATGGTAGAAATTGCAGTTTGTATTTTTTCCAATTTTGTCAATATTACATAGAAGGATCCTTCATTACCAAATCTTGCATGTGTTCCTTGACGTATGTACTTGTTACTGAACGCAAACTAAACAAATTATACAGCTGTTGACAAAAAAATATTGTCCGCCTTGATGTACGAGTATTTCTTCTATATATTGTCAGTTGAACTTTTTCATCTCTGAAATGATAGTCTACAACGAATAGTACATTATACCATGATTGCAGGTTTTATTCAATCATCTTTGGAATAAATAACAGAAAAAGATTACTTATTCATAGACAATGTACAATTTATTAAAACTCTTTCATTAAAAAAATATTCAAGGTGTTTGATTTTTTTTTTTTGATTTTATACTTCGAAATTTATGTGTCACAGCTAGTCAAATATTTTCGGTCTGATTAGTTACAGACTTTTAGCGGATCGCTCTCTTATTTGAGGTGCATTATCATCGATGGATTATTTATCAATATCATTCATGTCTTTCCCGTTATGATCTTGGCTTTGCATTTGGGTAGCAATTTTTTTGATCACCAGAAAAAGATACTTTTGGTCACCAAACATTTTTTAGATACAAATGATCACCAAAAAAAAAGATATTTATGATCACCAAATTTTTTAGAATGCATCTCATATTTTTATTTCTCAACAAAGTAAAATATAATGTATACAACATAAACAATATTCATTGAAATATTAACAAAGTAAAAAATATTCTTATTTTTGTTAATATATATTTTAATTTGCTTGATGACACTGACATGGCTGCATGATCAATTGAGAGCGACGAACGAATTTGATATTCTATTAAACCAGCACGAACATATTGTGAAACAGATTGTCACAGTGAAGATGGTAAACGAAATGTTTGATTACGGTCGCTATGATTGTGAGTATTTTTGAACATTACCGTAATTGAGTTAGGATCATCATCAGGTACAACTTCTATGAGTTCATAATTATACGATGAATATTTACGATATTAACTACATTTAAACGAGTATTTTGCATGATCTTTAAGATTATTTGTTCGATATTGACACACATTATGTGATTTAGCTATACAGCTTTAACATCATCAAGTGAATTAACTACACATAGCAGAATCCAATTTGATTTTGACATTTTTAAAAGCGAAAAACTTTAAAGTATTTATATATACGAGAAGTAGCAACAGGAAAGGTATGAGCAAATGCGAGTGATATGATGAAAAAAATAGATAATGAAATGTAAGCAAATTACGAACGAAGAATAAATAATGAAATGTAAGTACATGACGAACAAACAAGATTTAATGAAGAATCACACCTCTCTAAAACATTTGGTGATCAAAAATATCTTTTTTTGGTGATCAAAAGTATGTTTTTTTGGTGATCAAAAATACAATTACTCTTTGCATTTTATATTTTAACCTTTAAATATGTTGTATTTAAAAAAAAAATCAAATTATATTACAACATGTAGCGTAAAAAGCTTTACAATTTATCAAGTCAGGTTTATTTTAATTGTATATTTTTTGTTTTCAAAATAAATGAAATTCCGTGCGACTAATTTTCGATGTTGTGAACATTATCATTTTCTTTTTTTCTTATTTCATCAATTAATGAATTATAGTTTTTACCTTTATTCCATTGAATATAATTGTTAATAGCATTCCACATGTAATAATGCCGAATATTAAGATCAAAGCTATGTGGTGGCCATCTGTGAATGTCTATGATGTGTGTAAAACTGTATTTACACTACACCAATAATTTCTGATGCATATGTGACATGGCATTATCTTGTTGACAGGCTAAATCATGGTCTAGAAGCTGTTTGAATTCAGATTGTGCTTGTGAAAGAACAACTTTTATATAATTTTTTATGTGATAATCTTGAATGTATGGACATGATTGGATGTATTCTCTCCACTCTTACCTATCCCTACCCTCTAACGAAATTTATATGAAACATGCGTGACCCAAGTTCATTTTTTAATTAAGGTTCTTTCCGTTTTTCATCTTTATTTTTCAAAAAAGAAAAACTTTTTTTCTTTTCTTATGAATATTTGTTCTATAAATGAAATAAACATATTGAATCGTTTATCTTCAACTAAATAAGAATTTGTATTGTTCGGACATTTGTTTAAGTCGGCATTTTTATCTGTCAAGATTTTTCTTCTCGACCAAAGTAGGACTTACTATTTTACTGGATTTAAAATATAATGAAAGATGTAGGACCATTTGTTAATGTCCCTAACTGCTATAGAATTTTGTTTGAATATTTAACCTTTTCTTTTATATCCCCTACCGTCATGGTTGAGCGATTACGTTGTAACATACACGTATTCTTATAATTAGTTAGTGTGTATACAGAGTGCAAGAACTCTGCACCAGTCCAACTTTAAATTTAGAATTACAGCTAGTATTCGTTGTTAAGAAGATCTGGGACTCTGGAATCTACCAGAACCTCAGCCAAAAGACAAGGAAATTTCTTTGTCTTCCATATATCTCCTTGTTCGTCAAGTTTTTATCAACTCATAGCATAAACATATTCTAATAAGAAATATTTTTCTTCAATGAATAGAATTATCTTCCATTAATGAAATAAATAAACAAATTGATTGCTTACTAGAAAATAATTATCTTCGCCGCATTGAGACATTGATCGCACAGAATTTTGTTTATTTTGAAACCAAAAGGTATACAATTCAAATAAGCTTTTTATGCTACATCTTGTGGTGCACTCTGTTTTTCTTTTAAGTAAATCATATTTAATGATTAAGATATGAAATGCAAAATGCAACCATTTACCTGTTACTTAAATACCTACATAGCATTTCAAATATTTTCATTTGTCTATGAATATTGACATGACACATTTTTTTCTTTTCTTTTTTTAATATTCTCAACGAATAAATCTTTCCAATGGATTTAAAGGTTATTATTATCTTCTTTCATTATGAGATATTCAAAATTTTTTATCCAATGATCTTTGCTTTTATCAATTGAAACTCAAGTGAATTTTTCAACAGATTTATTTCAATTGAATGTATTATATAAAAAGAAACAAAAGAAAAAAAAAAGACGACAAAATAATGTACCAGCATGTTAACTACTAAAAAAACCTCAATATAATAATATGTATATGCTGTGCTTGATGTAATTGTAATGACTAGAAATAAATATGTATATGTACTGAAGAATAGGGAAACGAAAAAAAAATCCACTAAAAATGAACGACCAGCATTCAAAGAAAGTGTGATTAATTCATTAAACGGCACTATCTTTTTCTCGTTGTAAGGTTTCAGTAAGATAGAGACGTAATTGTTCATCAGATGGTGATGTAGAAGAATCAACATGTATAGATGAAGGTGTTAAATTCGTTGAGCGTCGGGTTTGCTGTTCATTTGTTGTTAAGAATTTATTTAATGGAGGTGTTTGAGTTGATGATGTATTTGTTATAGTATATGGAGGAGAAGATAATGGTTCATCATTACTTGATATTGAAAGATTATTCATATCCAATGTTATTTGTTGACGACGATGATGATAATTTTGTTGATCAAGATTTTCTTTTGGATAACGAAATATTGGAGATGTTGATCGTTGATTTGTTGAATGTGAATGATGATGACATGAGTCTTGATCTGGAGATATAATTGTTGATGCAGATAATTGAGAATGAACTTGTTTTTGAGCTAAATGTAATTGTTGAATTGAACTCATTTCACGTTTTAATGAACTTATTTTTGATTTTGTTCGTACAAGTTCTTGCTTCATTGCACGATTTTCAACTTCAAGACGTTTCTTTTCCTAGAAAAATAAAAGAAATATACGTACATAGATTAAATCAATATTATTAGTCTAAATTATGATAGAGCAAGAGCATGTCACCTATGATAATGATACAATGATGGTAATTTAGATCTTTATTGTTTCTCTCTTTAATTTCTACGTACATCATAGGAATATTAGTATGAAAGAAATGAAAGACTTTAAGACATCTGATGAGATTATGATTGCAATGGAAATAATTCTACCGATTTGACCAATAGATCATACTCCATTGTTGCATACTTTAATGCATAAGTGGATAGCACATTTTAAAAGTAATAAAATCTTACAATCAATTATTTTACCGATATTTTCTTTTAATTATTTCTTATTAAAATCTTCCTTGGTTGGATAAAAAACTATCGAAATACATTGCTTGAATTTCTCCAATAATGCTCTTATCGAAAGATGATTCGTATGAAGTCAATTCGTTCTATTTTATTAGAATATCTACACAATTATTCGATAATCAATAGACTATAATGTAATAGATATGAAAACTGTCGTAATACCAAAATGCCATAAAGTGTGTCCGCACTAGAGATGTGCAGAACTGCAGGAAAGAGAAGTTTTCAACACCGAAATTACGAGAAAAAAGTTCACCTCAATGGAACTATAGTTCAAAATTTTGAAGAAGAAATCCGAAATTATTTAAAAGATAATATATATATATATTTATATTAAATTCTTACTTCTTCAGCTTGTCTTAATCTTTCGAAAATTTCATATTGACTTTGATCAGACTTTGTTGGTAATGATCGTAATGAGTCGGTTAATGATAATTTTCTTTGATTTAAATTTTGACTACTACCATAATTTGTTGCCATTTTTAATTGTTGCAATGTTGTATCATGTGTATTTGATGTAAAACACGTATCCTCATCACTAACATCACCTTCAAGAAATGATCCATGACCATATAAAGGTTGTTCTACAGATTTTTCATCTAGATCTTGTTTAAGCATTGTTGTTTCTGATATTGTTGTTGATGTTGTTGGCATTGGTGATGATAATGTTGATGATGGTAATTGACGATTTTTTGTAAAACAACGATCATTCCATTTTTCAAAACTATCCGAGCAAATTAATGGTCCACGTGGAATTAATTGTTGAGTTGGTATTATATTTGTTGATGTTGCACTATTTGCTGTTGTAATTGTTGTTAATGAACAAGTTTGTTGTGGTGATGGTGGATGTGTATAATAATAATCATCATTTGAATCAGATAAAATTTGTTTTCGACCTTTTAATGATGATGGTTTACGTAAATGAAAATAATGATGATGTGCAGATTTATCGATACTTTGTTGTTGTTGTTGTTGTTGTTCATCATCAGATGAACTTGTACAACTTTCTGATGTAGCTGAAGATGATGTTGAAGAAAAATTCATATCTTCAGTTTGTGTTGCTTTTTGTTTTCGAGTTTTACGTATACGAAATGAATTACGACTTAAACGTGCATCTGTTACTGAACCTTGTTTATTAACAGGATTTGAACGTTTTTGTCGACATTCCATTACAACTTGATCTTTACAATGACGATGAGCATTAATACCACAATCTAAATTTTTGGTTTTTTCGTTATTTTATATTGAAATTAAAATACGAAAAAAAAAATAAGAAATCAACCAATTTACCTTTACATTTCCAACCTTGTTTAATAAGACCCCAAAGAAGACCCGTACAATGAACACAAAATGTTGGTTTAAAATATGTTGTTTCATGAAAATCATGTTTAAATTCACCTTTCAAATCATGATATTTAGCTCGCAAAAAATAATTACGCATTTCAGTTTTTGATATCATTCCATCTCTAGATGAATTATGATTTATTTAAAATCAATAAATAAAAATTAAATCTGAAACTTACTGATCAGCATCAAGTACAGTAAATGTGTCAATAAATGGAAAATTTTGTGCTATTTCTTCAAATTCTGTATGAGATATATAACCATCACGATCATGATCATATGTTGTAAAAACAGCTTCAACCATAGCATTAACATGTCGTTGAATTGTTTGAATATCAATTGTTTGAATAACTCCAGCTGCCCAATCGGCAAATACAGGACTATGTACTTGTTCTTTTTTCTTATATACATCAGAGGTAGAATCATTTGTTGATTCACCAGGAGTTAAACCTCGAAATGTTTGATCAGGCTAAATAAATATATATACATTATCAAGATAAGAAAAAATGAATTTATTAGTCAAAATCATAGATTTAACATTTCTATTAAATCATGAATTATTAAATAAGTTTTCTATGATAAATTTACACCGAAAAAAAAATTGGGCAAACAGTCATAATCGGATTGTTGGAAGTAGATTTTTTTGTGAAACATGATCTGAAAGAAGTATTGAAATATGTAGGTAGAAATTTGAATCCCACCCACAGAGCTTGCCATCCATCAGTTAAAGAATATCATAAATCCTGATGAACGTTAGTCGAAGACAATCACAGATATTTTAGCAAATTCTCCCTTTCCATCACAGACCTTGACAGATGCTGTTGATATTCGATCAAAGACAGTATATTAATAATGATTCTGACTTAGTGTAAAAGATAATCTTTGACTGTTTACGAAAGGAATATTCTCGCAAGATACCTTTTGTTCGAGTTCATATTTTTTCCATAACTAGTGCTACGTGAGACTAAACGAAACTTAAAAGGATTTATTCAACTAGATCTTTCATTCGAAGTTACGACCGTTTCAATCGAATTTCTGCTTGAGATCCTGCTCTTAAATAAACTCTATATCCGTTAAAATATTCTTAAAGTTTCAATCAAAACAGACATTTCTTTCTTGAAATATTAAATTTTGTAGAACAATCGATTTTGTAAAATATAATCATGTTATGAATGAAATTTTTCAAACATTCTAGCAATCATGGGATCTGTTTAGGAGCGAAATTTCAGGTCGAAATTTTAGTAAAACCATCATACATTCAAAAGGAAGACCTATTGAAATAAATCCTTTAATATTCTCTACTAGTCTTATAGAGTCTAACTTTAAGAAACAAAAATGATCTCAGATGTTGAGTGTCAGTTGAAAATGTTAACTAATGAGTAAAATCCTCTTATAATAAATCCAAAACTATGACTTCATATATTCTCTATTGGAAAAGCCTATAGACTATATAATAATAAAATTTTAATTTTCAATATAATTCATCTTACTTACCGATGAAACTGATGACCGAGGTTCACGAGCTAATGAAAGTTCATAAATTTCATCTTCTGTATAACTTAAATCAACTGAAAGCTAAAAGAAGAAAATGATCAAATATATTTCTTTTCGTTTTTTTTTTAAATTTTCTATCTAAATTATTTCTTACAGTAAGTAAATTTATTAGATCATGATTTGGTTGAACAGGTGGTACAGAAGCTTGTAAACTAGTTAATGTTCGAAATACAATACTAAGTTGAACTAATTTACGAAAATTAATTAAATCATATTCAAGACGATCCTGTAATGCAACATGAAGTGAAATGATATCTTTTAAATGAACACCACTTAAATAATACAAAACAAAATCATGAAATAAATATTTGACGAAAAAAAAGGAAAGAAATGTATTTAATTTACATAATCGGTATTTTAAAACCTTCAGATTCTGATAAACTTTTTCTATATTGAGCATAATTTGAATTTGATGAAAGTAAATCTGTCATTTCACCAAGAAACTAAATTGAAAAGAGAAATTATTTCTTGTTCTAATATTGATAAAAGAAAAAAGGATTAATATTTATATTACTTTAATATCTTCTGTTGATAAACACATCATTGTTTTTGATAAACGAGCTAATGCACTATGTGATATTCCTCCAATAACTGCTAGACATGTATTAAAATTTTGTAATTCTTTTAAATACTGGAAAAAAAAAAGAAAACTTAGTAAAAAATAACAACAACAACATTATTCTTTTCTAAGAATTTACTTTTGCAACTTCAAGAAATTTATGTATAATTTCAGCACGTTGTTTTGGTGTCATTTTACTTAAAACCATACATTGTATCCATGTTGATAAACCATTAAAAAATTGTATTGAACGTTCAAGACGTGGATTATCTTGTAAAGTATTTTTAATAGCATATGTTTTATAATCAGTAAAAGTTATACGTCGTAAAATTTTCCATTCTAAATAGGTTAATTGGGCTGCTAAGATTTGCGATTCAATATTATTAAAACCGAGTGAAACAATTTTGTTTTTCGCTTGATTTCGTACTGTCATTTGACGCATCCAATCAAATGATGGTCTGAAAAATAGAAGAATATTTGATATTATTTGTTGTATCATTAAACAAAAAGAAAGTAATTGCTTACGTACAATTGTGATAGATCAACTAAACTCATGGATTCAGTATCACCGGATGATTCAATAAGATTTTGTATTTTTTCACAAGCTTCTTTTAAACGTTTATCAAGATCAAAATGCATGGGGAAGTTTTTAATCCAATAACTAAAATTAATAACGAATATTATTTTGATCTTTTTCTTTTTATGTCAATAAATTTGAATCTGGCATTTACCTATATGATTGACAAACACGTATTTGATATTCTTTATATTGATGTTGTTCATTTATATTTATTGCTTTTTTATAATCATCTCCGTAATGTTTATATAAATCATAAAGCATATTACTTAAATGTTCAGATTCCATTATCCATTTATGCATAAGAAAAAATACTCTTGGATATTCACTATCATCAATAATAGTTCCATTTGTTTCTAAATATAACGTTAAATTACACAACAAAAAAATTCAAATTTATAAAATAACTTACGAAAAGAATCAATTAAAATTCGAATTAATCGATTAAGTGTTGCTCCTTTAACATGAATTCCAGGTAAAATAGGTCGTTCTTCTTCAATATATTCAGGTGTTTTTTCACTACTTTTTGATCGTGTATCTGATTCCTCAATTCCACTACTACTACTACTTGTTATTTTTTGTTTATCAATAGATGAAATTGGTTCATTTATTGTTCGATTAATTATTGATGGACTTAATAATTGAACTTTTTTTCGTACATGATGATGTTCACTCGGTTCAATTTCGAATGTCACCGGACTATCTTCATCTAAATCTTGTATATTTGATATAGCTTGTGAACGTTTTATTGTCGTTGATAATTTATTTGAATCAATATCAACACCACTCGTACGAGATTTTATTCGATGATCAATTATAGATGAACGTGGTATTAATATTGGAGGTGGTGCTGATGATGGTAATAAATTTTCATCGGATGATAGTGTCACCGGCTGTTGTGGATTGCTCGTCGTGTTCATCATTTGTTATTTATCGATATGAGCTTCAAAGTAAAAGAAAAAAGTAGAAAACAAAAAAACATTAAATAAATATACCACGCACATATAATTTGACAAAATGAAATTTACAGCTGATATTTATGATTTGTTTCGTCATGAACATAATGATGACGCACAACATTTTTTTTTCTATGTTCTTCTGAATTATGACATTCCAAACGGATAAAGAAAAAGAACAGAGAAAAAAAGAAAAAGGAATAACTCAATGTATGTGTCAACGGTATACATCCTACATTTTGACTCTTTTTATGTCATTTAGTTAACAAGAAAGAAAACCACTTTCTCTTAAATTACATTTGACCAACGAGAGAAGAAATTAAAAAAAAAGTTTTATAGAATGAAATCTTTTCATGCGCATATACACATGGATGTAGGTAGGTGGAAAAAATTTCTTTAATGACACTCACCATATGTTATTAGTGAAATGCACCGCTACATGTCGTAGTGGTGTCGATGAACAATAATGATCAATCATCCAATCGACAGACCAATAATCCATATTCGAAGTTGTAACATACCGTATATTCAACATAGTATAGCATGTAGATATAAAGGAAAGAAAAAAACTAAAGAGAGTAGCGTTAATAATGCCCGATGATGATGATGATGATGATGATCTAGAAATGTTGTGTGCGGACATACGCGAAAGAAGAAAAAAATATAGAAAAGAAAAAGAAAGATTCTTGTTGCAATAGAAAACAACAACTAGCTCACTGAATGAGTGGGATCTTCAACGCGCTCGCTCGTTTACTGTCAAAGAACAAATGCAAAAAGAAACGCGCGTCGAATGATCGTAGTAGACCAAAGGGTTGAAATGGCTAAAAATAGCTAATTGTACGCGTGCGCACAGCATCGTCTTCTGTTTCTTTCTTAGCCGTGCGCGTATTCCAGAAACGGTGGTGTTCTATAGTTTTTCTTATTTCGTCGATGGCGATTGTTGTTGAACTGAAATATATCTTTATGCTAGTTAAAGTGACTGATAGATAGCGTACATATGCTTAACATGAATGATGACAGTGATTGAGGAACAAGTGTGGAAAATAAAAAACGAGCCGAGACCGTTTCGCCATTGTGCACATCTAGGGTTTATAGTCTTTCATTGATAAATAACAGAATGAGACATGATAGAAAAAAATATATTTTGGAATAGAACATGAAATAAGCAAGGTCATATATATTGTGCGACAGTTGCACGTCTAGGGCTCATTCACATAGATAACTAAATAGAATAAATAAATAAATGAATGAATGAATGGGTATTCTCGATGTGTTGTTGTCATTGCCGACCTTGGAATAGATCTTAACTAGGACGATACTCACACAATGTCACTATCAATAATAACAGCATTACGATACATTTTTTCTCTCCTTTATCTAAGGTTTTTTTCTTGTCTATCTTTTAACATGTGCGCAAAAAGCTGTAGCTTATATGGCATAGTAGTCGTCGTGTGGGAGGTTGTTGTAATGACGAAAAGAGGACGCACAATGACAAAAAAAAAACAAGCGATGGCAGACTCGTTCTCTTCTCATATTTTTTCTTGCTATACTGCAACTACAACAACTGCTGCTTGTCTGTCATTCCATTATTTCTTTCCCTTTTTCCCGCTCTTACGATCCTTACAAGCTTAGTAATATGTGCGTGTGAACACACAGAAATAGAAATATTTTTTCAACTAAACTGAGCTGCTCAATGATGAAAGAACACACATATTGTGAGCCAATCATACATGCATATAGCAATGAAGATTTGTGTCGTTGGCCACTTGAACACAAACAGATGAATGCTCTGAAATGACCCGATATGAGTATATATGTCAATGAGGACGAAAAAAAGCTGAGAAGAAAACGATGGATATGAAGAAAAAAAAGAACAAGAAAGATAGAGAGAGGGAAAAGAAAAAAAAACAACTCGAGTCCAATACCGGAAGCATCTCGCTTTATCATCATCGTTATAGGAAGTAAGTATAGTAAAAATTTTAAAAAAAGAGGGAAAAAATCGAAGCTATTGCTGATTTACGATAATATTTATTTGATTAAAATTTTACCTTAACACTTATACTTGAGCAGATTTAAACGACATTAAACATTGATTGTCTGCTGTTGTTTTTTTGCTGACGTCATGCAAGCTATTATTTGAATAACAATAACAACACGAGAATGTTATGAACTCTCTAATTTCCGACACCTATGATCCAAAACTAAATAGAACATGCATATATTTACACGCAAAAAAAAACTAAATATATTTGCTATTTTACAAATGTTAAAGATGTTATTTAGTGATGAAATTAATAATATTGAATAAGATATAATTATCATAATTCATACATTCCAAAAGAAATTTCGTTCTTTATTTCTTTTTTTTGTCTAATATTGAACTAAACAATTAAAAATGACATATTGAACAACATGTTATTGTAATAATAATCTTTCTTATAACTTGATAAATCTATTACGTATGTGTTTTCTTTTTCATTTTTAATGAATATGATAAACAACACGCGAAATATTTTATATGAAAAAAAAATGCAAAATGTATGAATAACGTATGATTCTATTTAAAATGAATGAAAAAAAGAAAATCAACAATTTATTTATAGTTGAGCACTACTGTGTCAATTATGCCTTTTTTTCCACTACAATGGTCTTTTGTACTAACTGCGGAATTCTTGCTGATATAATAATAAACTTTGAAATTTTGATTTTAATACCAAGAAGAAAACAAGGAAAACTTTCTTATTGAACAACAGTTTAATTATCGAAAGATTACACATTAATTCTTTAAATAAAAATCTATGATTGTTACCATTAAGTACAAGGTATTTATCATAAGAAATCTGAGCAATTGTGAAAAATATATGGTAAACTTTTAGAATAAAACTTTCTATCCTTCCTCTAACAATCAAGTTTATAAAATTATAGTTTCAATTAATAGAAAGTTACTTTGTAATAAATAGATGATGTTTTGCATTCATCGAGTCATCTTTTTTCGAAGAACATGACAAAACTGTACGAATTTTCAGAATTTTATTATTCCAAAATTCAATACTATGACATTCAATAAGTCGAATGGATTATTAACTACAGTTCTTTCTCAATAGAGTCATAGTAACGAAACTCAACACATTCTTTTTAATATTATCACAGTGCAACAGTGGCAAGTTTCTAATCGTGATGAATGTCTCTATTTTCTTATTAGGTTAAAATGAAATAAAATTTTATTTGATACACTAAAATCTATCATTTTGATGTATTTCATGATGAAAATTGAGAGTTTTTGTTTGATTGTCATATATTTTGAATTTAAAATTTCAGTTTTCGAACTAACTAATTTAGTGATGAAACTAAGGATCTTCTGAAATTAAAGCTGTGATTCAAACCATACTACTTTACTGATGATAAATTATCTAACTTATAAAATTTTCAATAAGAAGCAATACTTGTGTCTCTACAAAACATGAATTCGATCAATTTATGACATATTCTAATCTGGTTTGAAATGTTTGGAAATTTTTTCACTGATATTATTAGGTTATTTCTAGACATAGGTTAGTCAGCTTTCGTTATATAATCGTAGAGTTCTCTAAGTCTGGAAATAATTTCACTGACTAGAGTCATTAAAATGCATATATTTTGAAAAACTTACATCCGATCTATTTCTTCTTATTTTTCGTAGACTTAGGAAAAACACTTTTCGAAATTTGAAAATTTTATCAGAACTGCATATAATAGTTGTCAATAGAGACATTTGATTGTATTCAAGAGATTCTGATGTAGAGAATAATGTTGTAATCAATAAGTGGATTTTTAAGACTTAGTATTAGAGATGTGCGAGACTTACGTTTGAAAGTTTGCCAAGACCGGAACTACCAAACAATCAACAGCTGTCCAGGCCGGTAGTAAAGTTTATAGTTAAATATCCTATGATGTTAAGCGTATTCTGTTATAAATCGTATCATTCAGAACATTATATCAGAGATAATGCAAAAACGTGTTAGTCTTCGATTGACTAAATAAAATAAAGAACATAGAAGAATCTTTTTTCATGTGATACAACTGAACTCTAGATTAGGTTTCTCGGGTTCGAGACTATGACTGGAATCCATTGTAAATCAGTTACCGAGTCTGGAACATAAAAAATTGGCCTTCCACGCCTCCACTCGGTATCTTTTCTGAAACCAGAAAAAAAAATGAAAATTTCACTCTTATTAATCAGTTTTTATTCTATCAATAGTATAGTAATACAAAAACTACAACGAATTATACCTCGTTCTATAACTCATTTATTTACTGGACAAAGAACCTAAGACGTAGACTTTCATCGTAGACAGAGATAAAACAACATGTTCTTTGAAAAATGACTATCTCTATATACGATGAATGGCACACACCCTTATCAAAATTGATTTATTCTCAAACAAAATATTTACAAAATGTTTCTAAGGTTTCAATTAACTAGATATATATCATTCATTAACTGGATTCTGTCACAAAATTCCATTGAATTCAGAAGCCTAAAATCATATTTATTCGTTCAAATTATAGCATGTCAATACACCTGATCAAATTTAATCATTTTAACTTCGTATATTTTCTTGTACGCGTCCATTAACCATGACGTGCATTAATAAGAATAATACCGAAAACGTTAAAATCAATATTATCATTTATATTTAGTCTGAATTATCTCAATTTAACAAATCATCAACCTAAAACTAACCAAATACGAACTCAATTATCATAAAAAAAACTAATGGATGATGCTAAAGCTCTATATTAATGTTCTTTTCAGTACAGTGTGATAAAAACTCGTTGAGAAGACTTCACAATTATTTAGTCGAAAAAAGCAAAGTGTCTTCTACAAAACTGTAAAAAATATTTAGTTCAAAGTACTTACAGTAGGCTGAAAGATTTTAAGAACTTGTATGACTAGAAAAAATGCCTTGCAAACTCATACAAAATCA